TGGTCTCTGCCTGCTCCCCACCCCCCCCACCTGCCCCCTCCAGGAGGGGGGGGAGCCCAGCCTAGGTCTTGTGGGTGAAGCGGGCCCACACCTGCTGCAGCTGGGACCGCGAGATGCGGAGCACCGAGGGCACGAGTCTGTGGTTGCCGGCGGCGAGGGGCGCGTGGCGCCGGTGGGGCGCCCGCACGGGGCTGCTCTCCGCCGAGCGGCTGCGCTGAATGAGGGAACCGGAGGAGCCGCCGCCGCCAGGGTGAGGGTAATGCTCGGTCTCCAGCGTGGAGGAGGAGAACACGGAGGACGCCAGTCGTCGCAGAGGGCTGTACCGCGGGAGGGAGTGCCCCGAGAGTCTGTCCTCCTCCAACTGAAAGAGACCAAGAGAGTGGAGGGAAAAGAGGTGTCAGGCACAGACTCGACAGCTCCGTCTCGGGGGGCCGCCCACCGCTCACAGCACCTGCGGCGCTGGCGTCCCGGGCAGGGGGCAGTGTTGGGCAGGCGGAGGGCGTGCACGCCGCCCCATTCTGCCCCAGCACCTAGACTCTGGCCGCCAAATCCCTTCCCAGTCTTCCTCCTCTTTGGCACTCCTCACACCGTGGTCTCCTTGCAGAGACCTTGGTCAATCGCCTCCCCTGGGCAGCCTTCCTGCCTTAGCCCTTCCTAGTTCAGAGTTCCCTCTGAGCTGAGGAATCCTCCCCCACAGGAAGACCCTTCTGCAACTGCTACCTGCCATCTGTCTCCTCAGCTGTTTTCCTGACTCCTTAGGAGGCTGGGAGAACATTCCTTGCACGCCCTCTGCCCCATCACGGGCCGGGGATGAGGGGGATGGCAAGGACTCCACAGCAAAATGTAGCAGACGGGTAGGACTCTGGAGTCCAGCTACTCATGTTTGCACCCCAGCTCCACCACTTACTACCTGGTGAACACAAGCAAGTCACTTCTCGTGCCTCAGCTTCCTCATCTGTAAAATGGGGCTGACCATGTTTCCCAGATCATAGGCTTGTTGTAAGGATTAGATGTTATGACAGGCACAGCACTTAGGGTTGCCCTGGCGTAAATGCTGTGTCGTGTGAGCTGTCTGATTATCCTTTACGTCACTCTTAAGAATGAGGAGAGGAATAGAGAGGGTGAGAGGGAGGAGCAGACTGAAACCATTTCTCCAAAGTGGCTTTTTCCCTGTCCTCTCCCAGCCCAGCCACAAGGCAGCTGCAGGGAGGGCCTTGGCCACAACACAGACATCAGGAAGAATCCTGTCTGGGTCCTTCTGCCCTTCTACCCTCAGAGGGAAAAGGGAAAGCAGACCTGTGTGTTTCAGGCCTGTGGAGATGGAAATGGTGGCTTGGGTGTCGCCAGAACTGTCCCACCCTGACCCCAGCTCTTCCTGTGACTGAAGCCAGTATAAATAGCTTTTGGGGGGCGGGGGCTGAGGATGGCTTGGGCCAGCTGCCAGAGAGCTGAAGAGGAGGGGCCCCAGGACACTCAGTGTGGATGTCAAATGGGGGCAGAGGGGCCCAATGTGAGACCTCCAAATGGAAAGGAGGAGAGAGAAGATTCTGATAGGACTGTCACTGCCCTCACCCTGCTTTCCCTTCACCTTCTTTTTAGCCAAGCATAGGATCCTGGTCCCAGCTGCGCTGAGGATTAGGGGCCTGAGGCCTTCTGTCCAAAAGAAAGGCATACTAGCGTCTTCCCACAGCTCCTCCCACTGCGCATGTGCGTGGCTTGAGCTTAACACCCCAGCAGGAGTTTGGTGAGCTTGCGGGGGGGGGGGGGGGGGGGGGGGGGGGGGGGGATGGGGATGGACTCGATCCCAGCATGCTCCTGCCCTTTCACTCACCCCCCATGTCCAGCTGAAGTACCGCCTTCAAGAGACCACCCTGCTTCCCAGGCAGGCTCCCTATTCTAGCAAAGAAGCGTTCTCTGTTATCTACCTTATGGCCCTTGCCGATAAACCTTCACGTCCACACCTTGGCATCCTCACCCCACCTCTCTAGACCATGAACTCCAAAAGGGCAGGACTGCGGAGCCTTGTTCATCTGTGTCTCCCTGCCCCCAGCACACCGCCTGGCACGTGGCAGAGAAATGCTCTTGTGGCTGCCAGGCGGATGTCCACCTGCTCAGAGAACACTGACCTGCGGTGTTATCAGCCAGAGACAGCCGGCAAAGGATGGCAAACATCCCTCCCCCAAATCACACCCTCTGTCTGCTGCCTTCCCCTCTGCCTAGCTCTCTAGCCCCTTCTAATCTGCACCTTCAGTTTCCTGGGGGAGAAGGTGAGGTGCATGTAAAGAAAAAGTTGAAGGCATCATGGCATTCACACCAAAGAACAACAGATACCTGCTTCCACATTATCTTGGTCGGGGGGCACGGGGTGGAGGGGGTGGGGTGGGGAAAACAGCAGTGCAAGGGCTCTTATCTTTAAGGATCACTGTTATGAGGAAGTTCACACATCAGACACTGGGCGGAGGGAGCAAGATCTAGGGGGGGTCCCTGCAGAAAGGTGGCAGGGTGGGGAGTCCGCAAACGGTGATTCTAAGATCAGCCAAGCTTGGGAGCCCCCATGTAGCCTGAGATCTGAGATCAGGACTCCCTCCAGACCAAACAAAGAAGGAACAAATGCGCCAATCCCCACCCCACCCCCACCCCTCACCCTCCTCTGCCCTTGACAAGGAAGGTCTCTGCTTCGCCAGTACTGGGCTGTACGGAAATGCTCAGTAAACCACGTCACCACCCCCCCATGTGCACACACACACACACACACACACACACAGGCCGCCACGCACACTGCTGTGCCTAAGGCACACCTGCTGACAAGGGCCCCCCACCCCCACCCCGCACTCGGGCTCTCTCTGGCCTGTGTTTGCTCCTCTCCTAAACACACAGGCCTCAGACAGCACTCACCGCAGCTCTACCTCTGCCCGCAGCAACCCCCATACCCACCACCCGGTGACCCAGCATCCTGCCAGCCTCGGTTTCCTTATCTATTAAAGGGCAGGTTTGCCTTATAACGTCACTTTTGGAAGGAAGACACACGTGCCCTAGGGAGGCACTGAGAGAGTGCAGCTCTGGTTACCGTCAGTGGAATTACTGCTCTGATGGTTCCCAGCCCTTCAGCTTTGCCATCCGCAGCCTGGCCTCCGGGGTTCTCTGTGCTCCTGCAGACCCGGGGCATGCTGCATAGACACGCCGCTGTGTGCGCAGACCCACAGCCATGTGCCCTCCTGAGCTACACGAACACGGGAGCGCATGTGATCACAGCAGCAGAAGGCTAACTAACTTCGATGCAGTGTGCTGTGGGGAAACCGAGGCCCACAAACACCGAACACGCCCTCCAGACACATACAGCTCATGGCGGGCCCATAGCACCAGCAGGACTTGAACCCAACACTGAGACTGTACAAGAGGCCCGTGCCCACGTCCCCAACTCTCTCCCCTTACCTGCTTGGCTGTGGTTCCCCCCTGCAAGGATTGTTCCCCACACCCAGGAGGATCGGAAGGTGAGGAAAACCTCCCAGATAGCTCACCTCCCTCTCTGAGATCCACCTGGCCTGCAATCACTAGGAGGGGACAAACTGAGGGCCTGGGTCCAGAGCCTCGGCCTCCTGACTTTGATTCTGGACTGTCTCTCTACCCTACACCACCCCTGTCAGTCTCCCCTCCTCGACTCTGAACTTCCTGTGCGTGCATATGACCTCTGATGCCTCTGGTGCCCAGCATAGGCGAGGTGCTCAGGAAGACTATCGCTTTCGAATGGATGAATGAAAGCAGGAGAAAATGAGAGGGGAGCCAGACAGATCTTGCTCCCTCTCCAGTGCTGGCCTTGGTGGGAACAAGGTCCCCAACCCAGTCATGCTGGCCCACACCCTGCCCTGCCTGAGCCTCCAACTCAGGTTGGCTAGGAGCACTCTGGGTGGGGGCCCAGAGTTTCCACTTTCTGAGCCCCAGATTCCCAGAGTCCACGGCACGGTGAGGATGCACATCTCAGCTCGGAGGCCCTCTTTTCTAGACAGGGTGGGTGGGCCCTGAACAGAGCCCTGCCTGGGGCTGCCCTTCTCCCAGGCTCCCGCGTGCTCCCAGGCCAGGCCTCCCAATCGGCGCATGCAGTGGATTGATCTGACCTGGCCCTGAACCCTGGCACTTTCCAGAGCCACCTGGAGCAGGGCCCTGACATGGGGTGATTGACTGGAACACAGCACAGCCCTGGAGCCCTCCAGCATCACCTCCTTGGCTTTCCCTAGACCCTCTGAGGAGCCATGCTCCCTTCAAAACCACTCAGTGATGGCACTGCTATCCACACAGAACTCTGGGCACCAGCCAAGAACCACCCCCGACCCCGTTCACAGCCCCTCAGTTCTTTCCCCAACACCTCTTGGTTCCATCCACCCTGCCCCACATCCAGAGCCCTGGCCCTGGTCCAAGCCACCAGGCCGCTCTCCTCCTGGCGCCTGCCGTGGGGCTTCCTGCTTGTAGTTCTGGGCCCTTTCATCCGTTTTCACCCAGCAACCAGAAGGCTCATTTAAGAGCACTAAGGGGATCATGGCACACGTCTGTTTAAAAGCCTTGGGTGGCTCACGGAGCCTTCAGAATCAAACCCTAACCCTTTAGCTTCACCCTAAGGCCCTCTGGGCCAGGACTGGGGGACCTGCCTCGCAGCCTCACCTGTTCTGCAACATGCCATCAGGGCAGTGCTTTCTGACTGCCGCCCCCGGGCCTTTGCACACACGGTCCCCTTGGCCCCAGAGGCCTTTCTCCTGCTTTGTCACCTGGCTGAGGCTGCTCATCACGCAAGACTCAATTCAGAACATGGAGGCACTTCCTCTGGGAAGCTCTGACCGTCCCCCAAGCATGGTTTTGGACCCTTAAACTTGTCTACCTTCATCACAGCCTGCAACTGGTGGGTGCTAGTCAGCAGCCCCCAAGGAGCCCATGGGGAGCCCACAGGAAACACTCCAGGCAAAAACCGTGGGCATCCAGGGGTGGGGAGTGGGATGCAAGCCCAACCTTACCTGTCTCTGCGGGCCCGTGGGATCCGACTCTCTCCGTCGAGGGCGGGGTCCCGAGTGCAGTGGCGAGTGGGAAGGGCTGCCGGGCGTCGGAGGCTGTGACGTCTCTGACCGGCCTTCCACCTGGCTCAGCTGGGGTGGTGGGGGCTGGAATGGAGTCTGCCGAGGGTCCTCCTCAGCCAGAGTGTGCACGCCTCGGCCCCGGGGCCTGACGGTTGGCTCGGTCCCTGGCCGCCGCCGCTCCTCGCCCTCCTCAGGCAGTGGCCGCAGCTCTTCAGGCTCCTCGTCCGTGGTACCCGATGTGCTGGGCTCGGCCCCCGGGGGGAAGTCCTTGAGCTCCGTCTCCTTGTCAATGATGACCCACTCCTTGCTGTCAAAGTCCTCCTCCTCGGCCAGTGGCACAGAGCGGAAGGCATTGCTGAGGGCCTCCTGTTCCACGGAGGCCGACACGTCCATGCGGCCGCTGGCCTGCCGGTCGGGGTGGCCTGTGTCCACTGACAGCATCTGGGCCGGCTGCGAGGAGCAGGCCTGGCGCGAGGGAGAGCCGGGCAGATCCATCCGTGACCTGCAAAGCCACCCCGAGTGAGGCTCAGTGCCCAGCCTCTCCATCTCTCCAAGGGACTTGAGAAGGTGGCCTGGTGGACCATGCCTCCTGGAACCCACTGGCCAGAGCAGCTCTGTCACCCGGGGCCAGGCCTGGTCACCACCTGGCTTACCAACCCCCTCCCACCTCACTCCCCATAGAGATCCCATTCATTCATTCATTCATTCACTCAACACGCGGATTTGGATGCTTACTGCCTTCCAGGAATACAAACAAGCAGAAAATGAAACCTCACTCCCGTGCCCAAGGAACGCTGTCTTCTGGACCACCCAGGAGGCCTAATCTCCCGAAAGCCAACACTAGGTTCCCCGTCTGGTGCTCATACCCTGTTGGAGGTTCCCTCCCACTGCCGTCAAGGCAAACGCACCCACCTGGCCCTCGATGGGGCAGATGGTTTTTCTAGCTTCTTCTACCACCACCCTCCAGGCCGGCCTGGCTGGTGTCACCACCCCCAACAAACTCCAGTGGCTCCCAGCCTGGAGAACAAAGTCCATATTCCTTAGTTGGGCACTCAGGTGGCCAGGCCAAGGCCCAGGTTCACCATTCTCCGAGGCAGACTCATCTCTGTCACTGGCTTTTCCCCCCGCAAACTGCCTGCGTGCTCTTACTTCGGTGCCATTGCGCCTGACTCTCGGCACGCCCTTTGCTGTCCTCGGCACGCCCTTTGCTGTCCCACCCGGCAAGGATGTCACCTCCTTGGGGAGCCTTTCCATCCTGCTCTGCTGGGGACGGGGCAAGTTTGCCTTCCCAGCGCTGTGTTCCCCTCTCACCACAGAGTGGCGCATGTGTGTTTACATATCAGTCTTCCCCAGAGGCTGTGAGCTCCCCTGGCAGGGCCTGGGCCCCACCTGACTTTTCATGCTGGGCCAGTGACCCTGCCAGAGGACATCTCTTCCACTGTGCTGGGAACCTTGCATTACCTCCAGAGGCTCCCAGCCTGGGAGGGGGCTGGGTACCAGCCCTGAGGTGAAGGTGTTGCTGGTTGTAGGAAGGGCGCCCCCTCACTGAGAACCAGGGAGGCTTAGCTGCCTCAGGTTGTGCACACCCTCCCACTCGGGCTGTGCGCAGGGGGCTAACTTTCATTCTCCCCCAGCCTCGAGCCTGTGACAGAAATGGGTGCAGCTTGGAGCCACTGTGGGGCTTTCTCAACGTCCTTCCGCCCTGGTCTGTGGGACTTACCTCCTTCCGCTCCATGAGATTGTTACTGATTTAATAAGGCTTAAAATACACACATCCCTGAGGGAGGAGATTCAGGGCCTGCCATGAAAATGGCTGATGTGGCTTCCTTTCCTGAGCGTATGGTTTGTTTTGATGGACATAAGGAGAGAGGGCGCCCAAGGAAGAGAGGGGCTGAAGATGGGGGAAAGGGAAGTGAAGGAAAGGGGGAAGGTGGGCATCCAATCCCAGCGGCTTCATACTTTTTCCTGCTCCCAAGAGCCCCAGAACCTACCCAAACCCTCTGATCTGCCCTACAAGATCCTGAACCTTCCCTTCTAGAAAGTGTCTCTTCAGCAGTCTCCTCTTCCCATTAGCCCTGAAACAAGGGTTCACACCGGGTCAAGCCAGTCTGCTCTTCAGGACTGTCTGTTTGGGGCCTTCCCACCTCTCTTCTCCACTGACACCCCCTCCACACTGCTCTTCCTTGGCTCTCCTTGTTTCCTCGACCCTCTGGGCTGGGCTACCATGGATGCAGACATGGTCTTCAGTCCCAGGGAGGCCAACCCGTGTGAGTGTGACTGTGAGTGTGAGGGCTGTTGGCAACCTGGGCACTGGGCCCGTGTCCCCCTGTCCTGGGGTTGCAGCAGGGACTGGCACAGGCCTCCTCTGTCTTGAACACTGCCACACTGCAAAGGGCACCGTGTCCCACCGCAGAGTCAGGGTGCAGTTTAGAGCAGAATCCAGAGGAGGGGCCGTGGGTGGGGAAGAGGAGGCACGTGGCATGGATGGGAAGAAGCAACCCAGCCTCCTGAGCTGGGCCCTGGGGAAAGGCCCCTTTTCTGGTGCAGAGAAGACCGCAGCCCTGCTGTGTGGTGAAGGTCCACTCAGAGCCACACGAGGGTGGAGGCATCTCTCAGAGGCCTCAGGGAGGTTCTGACTCTGGTCTCTGATGGCCATGGGCCCCCCTCACATTTTGGCTCTAAACTCTCTGTCCCACCAACCAGGTGACCCCGTGACATTCAGATCCCTGCACCCCGACCCCCAAAACTTGATCCACCCCCTCTTGGAGCGGAGCATTTCCTGGTCTCTCCTCCCAGGCCCCTCCCCCAAAGCTGAAGAAAGCCTAGTCAGCTGCTCAGAGGCATCTGTAATTAGTCTGTAAGGAGAGATTCTAGAAGCACACCCACCTACCGGCTCACCCCTTGCCTCCTCCTGGGCTCGGGGACCCAGCCTACCCCTTTAACAACCCGCCTCCCCCCTCCATCCCTTCGCGACATGAGCTGGAACCTCGGTACCCCCAACCGCCTCTCCAGGCCTTGTCACTGACCAACCAAGGTCGACCCCAGGCCCAAGGACAACTCCCTTAACACTCCCAGGGTCCCTGCCCACCTCCACGCTGCATCTGCTCTTTCCTTCAGAGCAGCCATGTGAAGGCTGAAGGGACCAGGGAGGGGACCCCTGGCCGTGCGCCCAGCCCCAGACCTACCTTCTCTCATGCAGTTCCACCCGCCCGTCGGCTGTGGAAAGCCTCTCAGACTCAGGGCTGTTGACCCTCCGGTAGCGAAGAGAACGGACTGGGGTTGTCGGTGAATCTGGAGGGGCACGCACCGGGGAGCTAGGGACCCCCACACCTCGGCTCTGCTCCTCTTCCACCACACAAGGGGTCTGCAGGAGAGGGGAGTCCCATGAACGGGGGCCGACAGGGTGGCTGTGGGCCAAGTGCTTTTCCCAGGGTGAAGGAGACAGAGGGAGGTCGACGCTGGTGATCCTGACATGGGGCCAGGCCATGGAGGCAGGGCCCGAGGGCGGATAGCTGGGGAGAGGGCACACAGGAGGAACGGGAAGGGGGCCGTGGGCTGGGAACCAGGGTGGGAGCGGGGGAAGGCCACCCACGTCCTTCTCTCTGGCTGCAGTTACTTTGCCGATGTTGATCCGGAGTTTGTTCCGGTTGACATCCGTCTCCTCCCAGACTTCAGCCTCAGGACCCCCAGGGTGGGGGGCCAGGTGGGGGCTGGGACCTAGCCCCTCAGAGGGTCGGCCAGGCAAGATTGGAGGTGCGTTCTCCTGGTCGCTCAGGTGTTCGCCCTGCAGCACGTCCTCAGTGTTCTCCCGGAGTAGGTCCCCAGGCACTGGCGTCACGTTGACCACCCTGGAGAGGCCGGGAGGGGCCGGGGCTGGCAGGGGTGCTCTCTCCTCCCAGCGCAGGCCCCGCAGGTCACTGCCACCCCAGGGAGCAGGCACAGGAGAGGCCTCGGCAGGAGTGGGGGCGTCTGTGGGCCCCTCACCATCCCCGGTTCACCAAGCCTGCCCCATGGCCGTCCTCAGGCTAGCACAGGGCCGCAGGGAGATGTGGCCGCCCAGCGTGGCCACGATGTCACCCTATCACTTTAGGAGACTGTTAGTTTCCCGGCCCCACCAGATTTCCAGTGCGGTTCACTGGCTGGCCTCTTTTAGAACAGGAAGGGGTCTAAAGAGAAGAATCACTTGGGAACTCCTCGAGCGGTATCTTTGCAGAAGGAGGCACCATGATGTGCCACCAGGCCCTTCGGAGTCTCTTTTCCGGAGCCCCTGCCCCTGTCTCCCTGGCTCCTCCCCGGGGCGGGGTGAGGGGCCCCCGCCTCACGCTGGCCCCTCCCCGGGTGCCTCTGTCTTTGTGCTGGTCACCCGGCGCGGATGTCATGGACCGGTCCATGACAAATACCCCAGACCCAAGAGCACTCTGAGGGCAGGGGCTACAAGTCTTTTCTCTGAGCCCCACCAGCCCTGGACACAGGCTCAGGACATGCTGCCTAAAGGAATGTGTGTGAACAACAGAAACAAAGTGTGGGGCTCAGGTAATTTCCCTCAGGGCTTCCAACTCCCTAGTAAGGTCAAAAACTCCAAAGGAGAATGCCTGCTGTGTCCCCCCATTGAAGGCAGAGAAGTGGTAGAACTGCCTGGAGCTTGAGAACCCCACCGTTGAGCACCAAGAATAGGAAAGACAGTCAGGTGTGTCCACGTAGGAAGAGGAGGAGAGGGCTGACTCTCTGGGTGACAGTCCTGGCCCCCCGCTGGCCCATCATCCCTCCCGAGACTCACCCAAACATGGCTGCCGTCTGCCGGGTGTTCTGCTGGGGTGGAGTGGAGGTGCTCGTGGACAGGAGGGCATCGGTGCCCGCCTTCTCCCAGTCAAAGGCCTCATTCTCAGCGATGCCCCGTTCCTTCATGCTATTCTCAAACACCGACATGATCAACTGCAGGGGTGGGGGTGGTGGGAGGACAGAGAGGTGACCCTGGGGCTAGCCAGGAGGAGGGTGCAGTTGCTGGGATTGCAGGGGGAAGAGAGGGACCTTCCAGGACAGGGATGGGCTGAGAGGGGGCACTGGAAGGAGAAGGGCACATTGATTTTAAATGAAAACATGCACATGATATGCAAATCAGCATGCAAATCACCATCTTGGTTTGAGCCCCACTGGCTGGACGCCAAACCCTCTGGGATCCGTCCCCTGCTTACCATCCCCACTCAGACTGCTCTGCCATTCCCACCATCTCCGGAGCCCCGGAGCTCTGGTAGTTTCCCAAAGCCACCACCTGGGGTCACACTCCGCACAGACTGCTGCCTCTAGCGGCACAGCCTAACCCACCGGTCCTCTCCTCTTCGAAGCCTTCCCTGATTCCCCCGCCCACACACTCCCGGATCCGCCGCTCTCTGTTCCCAGCATAGCACACTGTATGCTCACTTGCTTGCAGCTGTCTGGTCTGGGGAACCCCAGGGGAGAACTGGGGGGCAGAGCCTTCTATCACTCACGTGAGGCATCTGTGCCAACCACCAGGGCTCCAGGCTCAGGATGTGGTGGACACCCGTAGCCCATCAGAGGCCCGCAGACCATTCCAGCTCTGACTTAGCTCTCTTCAGAATGCAGGGCAGGATCTCTCTGCTGGCAGGACCCACTTCACTGAGGGCCCCCTGTGTGCCTGTCGCTGTGCTCCTGGGTGTGGAGACTTGTGCCTGGCACATTGTGGGTCCTGGGCAGCACACTGCTAATGCATTCCCCCCTCTCCTGTCAGGATTTAAGTGAGTCCCCTAGGGGTGTGATAGTGGCACCTTGGAAAAAGCTCTGGATTTGGGAGTCAGGAGATGTGCCTGGGCCCAGCCCTGCACCCTGCCATGCTATCCGGTCTTAGTTTCCTCATCTGTGAAATGGGGGCAACGCAGAATTCTGGTGTGAAATATTTGAAAGCATTTGGCTTCATTAATTGTTGAGTGTTAGAATAATCACATAAGGAACACACATTATCACCAAAAGCTTGTTTTGAAGTTTAAATGAGTTAATGCATGAAAAGTACCGAGAAGAGGGTCAGCTGTTGATAACTCGTAGCTATGAATACCGTTTACAAGAGCACAGTACAGTGTCATGCAGTTGGAAGACCGGGGAAGATGCCCAGGGCTCAGCCAGCAGGGGAGTGGGGTCCCGGCAGTGTGGGTGCCGCCGGGGACGGTCGCCCCCATGGAGACGTCCAGGGATGCGGGGGCCAGGTGGCAGGCTCCCACCTGGTAATCAGGCTTGGTGAAGTAGTCGAGGCTGGCGATGTGGTCCAGGAAGAGGTGGAACTCGGAGGGCATGTGCTTCAGCAGCATTCGGTGCTCATACTTCTCCTTGATCATCCCTACCTGCTCCTGGAGGCAAGAGGGCACAGGGTGACGGAGCCCCTGTGCCCCCACGCCCCCTCCACCTCCTCAGACCCAGCCCCACAGGGCTTACCTTGTCCTTGATCTTCCTCCAGGGCAACTGGCCCACTGCAAACTCCACCAGCATGTAGAAAAGGGACCACAGGTCATCATGGCGGCCCATCTCCTGGGGGGGTGGGGGGGCGGTGAGGGGAGTCACCCACAGCTCTCGGGTCTTTCCCTGGGACTGACCCTTCCTGAGGGGGTCTAGCCTCAGGGAGGTCGGACACCCAAATTCCCGTGAGCAGAGCTGAGGTCTCCCTGAAACCATGGCTTTCTCCCTGACCTTCCAAGACACACAGACTCCCAACATCAAAACTTCCATCCATGCTTCTTCCCCCTACGTGGATGGTGTGAGCAGAGAGGAGGGAATCTCCAAAAACAAGGACGAAGGTGAAGTCACAGGGAGATAGCAGCGGAGCCTTCTTCCAGCAGTGGTCTCTGGTGTGGCAGCTCCCAGCCCCTGCCCCATACTTCTGTCCCCACCTCGATGGCTGCCCGTCCGTCCCTCTTCCTGAGCTGCACACTCTGCCCCTGACCTGGGCCGCACTGCCCCCACCTCCTCAGGCCCAGCTCTGCCACTCACCCGGTTCTTGTGGGCATTGACTGAGGCATAACGAACAGTCCCTCGAAACCCGGCCACATTCCGGGGCTGCAAAAGGGAGAACACACAGCAGGGCCCTCACCCGCCGCCCCTGACTTTGGCCGCATCTCCATCCTGCTTACTGAGCCTAACTCTGCCTACTTTAACCGGGACTGCCTCCCTCCACCCCCAAGACTGACACACCAACCCCAGTGCTACCCCCACCTCCTGACTCTGCTCACTGCCCCTGTGTCCGTCCCTGACCCAGGTGGGCAGCCAGATCACAGGGTGCGGATCACGGGGTGAGGCTAATGCAACTACAAGAGCTCCAGGAGCGGTGGGGGGGGGGGACGGGCTGAGTGTAGACCGAGCTAGGTGCTGCTCCTACTGAATCCCAGGCCAGGCCCGCTTAGGCAGCTGCAGGAAGAATTGGCGAAGGGTGCTCAGGTCGGGGAGCCAGGCGGGGCGGCCGGGGGTCCCCACGAGCGGCGATACTCACGGGCCGGACGTCCCCCGTGGTGTTGGTGTACTGCCGCGCCAGCCCAAAGTCCAACATGTAGCACTTTCTGTAGGTGGAGGGCAGCCTGCCCATGGCAAAGTTTGACTGGGGAAGACAGTAGCTGTGACCGTGGGGCTCCAAACCCACCCGGCCCACCTCAAGGGGCGCCAAGAACCATGGTTAAGTGTAAACACCACCTTGGACCGCAGGTCATCACATCCCATCTGAGAGACAGGTGGGATCCCCCTTATCTGAGAGCTGAGCATTCCCAAGGTCAAAGAGATTATGGGGCTTCTCCAAGATCACACAGCAGGTGATGACCCAGCTGGGGGTTGAACCGAGGTATGCATCCAGTCCTCAATCCTTGGGATGCCCCAGCAGGGCTGAGTGGCTTAGTGACCCTGTCCTGCTCTGAGGCAGCAGCAGACCTGCCTTGTTCTTGCTGTGTGACCTTGGGCCATTCAGCCAATCTTTCTGGACCTCAGTTGTCAGTCCTTATTTGAATTGGAGATTCTTCCAACACCGGGATCCAAGACACAATCAGCTTCTGGGAATTCCTTACCAAGCCCAGCCCCTCGGTCCCTTTCGTCCTAGATTCCTCTATGCTTCCCCAGCCCCAGCACCTTTCAAAGTTCAAGGACTACTCAGGGCAGGGGTAAGGGAGAAGGGAAGAATAGAGGAGAGAAGTGGGCCAGGGGTAGGCAGGGGTGTGTGCTCTTGGCAGGCAGGGGAGAGGAGGAGGTGGGCTTGGGGCAGAGAGCAGGAGGAAGGGACAGGTAGAAGAGGCTATTCCTGCCCCAACCACAGCTCTGGAGGAGAAACCATGGGACCTGGAGAGGGAGAAGTGGTGGGGGTGCACTTTGGAGGAAGGGCCAGGGAGGGCAACCCTCACCGGCTTGATGTCCCGATGCAGGAAGCCCACGGAGTGGATGGCCTCAATGGACTCCAAGATCTGCTTGCCCAGCCGCAGCGTGGTGCTCAGCGTGAAGGTGCCTCGAGGCTGGCTGCGGCGCAGGTCGGCCAGGTTCCGGCCCTGGGGGTGGCGGCCGGGGCTGGCTAGGCTCGGCTGCCCTGCCCCCTTCCCCGCGGCACCACTTGACATTCCTCCCAGCCTCATCCCCAGAGATTTGTGCCCACTCCCCACACCCATGGTCACAACCCAAGCTTTGGTGGGACAAGAGGGAGGACCCCAAGGGGACTCACCTGGAGCTGCATCACTACGTAATTAAACTTCTCATTCCGGCCACAGCCAATGAACCTGCACACGTGGCTTTTCCCTGGGGGGCACAGACAGGGGTCTCCCAACTCCCACCCCTTCTTCCTCCCTTCCAGTCCTCAGGGGTCTCCAGTGAGTTCTTGATTCCTAGTCCCATGACTTCTCCCACTCCCTCAGCCTGCCCCTCTCCCCACCACCGCCCTTAGACTCCGCCCTGTCTCAGCATCCCCCATCAGCTCTCCCTCAGCCCCAGACCCCAGATCCCAACCTTCACCTCTCTGCCCATCCTCCTGCCCTTGACCCGCACCTTGCAGCTTTTTGAGCACAGCTACCTCCATCTTGAGAACCTGCTTGGGCTGCTGGGCTGACTCCACCTTGAGGGCCACATTCTCCCTGGTCAGCAGGTCCATGGCCTCGTAGATCTCACCAAAGCCCCCGCCTCCAATCTTTTTCAGCTACGTAGATGGAAGAAGAGGATAGGAAACACAGGGATCAGGCTCAGCGGCTCTGCGTCCCATCCATTGCTAGCCCTTCCGTGGTGGGGGTATGGCTACCCTTGAAGAGGAGGACCCTGTGTCTGTCTTCCTTGCCCCACCCGCCAGGGCCCCCACCTCCTTTCCTAGTGCCAGAGACAGCTCAGCCCATGGGCGTGCATGCGTGTGTGCGCGTACACACACACACACACATACACACACACACACACACACACACAGCGCTAGATGTCAGAGTGGGAGGTGGGAGAGGGTATGAGACCTCTGACTCCATACAGATATGGAGACGAGCCTTGTAGGGTTCTAAAGAGATCATGGGCCATCGTGAAACTTTTCTTCTCTGGAAGGACAAGAAATATCACCGTTCCCCTACTCCTCGACTAGATTAAACCACCACCATCCAGAAGGAAAATGAATTTCCAGAACCTCCCAGCTTCAAAGTGGATCTTCCAGAGAAGGGGGCCCTTCCTCAGGTGGGCAGTCTCCTGACAGGTGTTATTAAAGGGAGAGAGTGATGGGGGGAGGGGGTATTTGGGGAGGACTCTCACCAAAGGGTATTCACTGCCCATGCCTGCTGCTGAAGCTCACGGCACTTCCTAGACCCCTAGTCAGATGCCCCAAACCAGGGTGAGCCTCCTCTGGGGGCCAGGGGCCAGGGGCGCGTGCGGGGACCCTGGTGGGAATGCAGGTTTGGAGAGTCCGTCTATTCCCCCCCAGGGGGCGAGGCAGTACAGACCTGACCCTCTAGGCCCTCCTCCTCCAGCGTCCCAGGGCAGGCAGTGAGAAAAGGCAGAGGGGAGAACTGAGTTGGAGAAAGAGCCAGCCAGGGGAGATGAGCAAAGCTGAGTGATGGGGAGGGATTAAAATCATTTCAAGTCAGAGGCGCCGGGGTTCCTGGAGAGCGAGTGTGCTGCTGGCAATGATGAGGGACAAGGAAAAGATGCTGAGTTCTAAGCCGGGACTCAGTTGGTTAAAAAAGATGTACGGCTCACCTCACAGGTGGCCTGCCCTCGCTGAACATCTTCCAGAAGGCTCACTCGCCTCCCGTTGGCTTGTTAACTCACCAGCACAGCTGGGCGTGCTGGCGATTGGGCGGAGGCTGCTCTGACCAGCCAGCCTGTAAAGGGACTCTGAGCCCCATGCATCTCTAAGCCCGCCCCTTAGCACTTCATCAGCACTCAGGTCCCATTAAATGTTTAATGGTGGCTGAAGCATGAGGATGGAGGGGGGAAGGGGGCAAGCCAGAGCCCAGGGCTGGGAGCTCCCAGCGGGTGACAGCTGACTCCACTCCAGCAAGAGACAGAGGATGAAAGGAAGATTTAGACAGAAGAGCACCTCTGGCTGCGTCCTGAAGGCTCTTGTGCCCAGGAAGGAGACAGGGAAAGAGAAAGGAGGAAAGACAGTGTGAAACCAGAGTCTCTCTGTACTTCAGACAAAAGTTAAGTCAGACTCCTAGAAGAATTTCATTTAAAAAAAAACATTTTAAAGACTTATTTATTTATTTATTTATTTGACAGAGAAAGAAGGAAAGAGCACAAGCTGGGGGAGCTGGAGAGGTAGAAGCAGGCCCCCCACTGAGCAGGGAGCCTGATTTGGGGGGGGGTGGGCATGATGCCAGGGCCCTAGGATCATGACCTAAGCCAAAGGCAGACACTTAACCAACAGAGCCACCCAGCCGCCCCTCCTAGAATTTCAGAATCCGGAGGGGATAGAAGCAGACTCAAGGGAAGAAGCGGCATGTCTCCCTCTGGGGGACTTTAAACTCAGGGGAGAGTCTAGTATCTTCTAGAATCCTTTATGGTTTGTTGTGTGCCAGCATAAAAGAAAGGGGGCGAGGGAGAGAACAAAAGCCCCATCTTGGGTTCTGTGCTCCAGACACACAGACATCATCTCAGCTCGTCCCCTAAGGTTCCTGACAACACAAGTGCGGAAGGTCATAAGAGTCACCATTTTGCACAGAAGGAAAACTAAGGCGCAGGGAATTAAGTACTCTGCCCCAGGTCACACTTGCTAGTAAGCAGCAACGCCAAGCTTCCCTTAAACCCAGGCACTCTGATTCAGAGCCCACACTCTTAACCATGATCTCACAGCAACTGGTGACAGCACAGGGCTTAAAGGTGTGAGTGCTGAGATTCAAGCCCGAATCTGCAAAGCTCCAAAACCCTCCTAAGAGGTGGTAAGGAGGGCTCAGGGCACCAAGATATTTCCAATACCAGCTCCCCAATTTCTGAGGGTGGCCAATGGTATTTCTCTGCCATCTTCACTTCCAAACAGAAGCTGTTTCTTCTCCCCTAACCCCCTCCATACCCTGCCACACCCATTACCGAACCTCCCTGAGGCAACAAGCTGGGGGTCTGCACCCACCCACTCACCTAACACCCCTCCTCCCCAGGCCCTACAGACGCCACTCACCCATCGGGCATAGCAGGCACAGTGGCCCATAATACTTTTAGGGGGCCATAAAAATGTTTCAATATTTTTAAATCACAAGGAAAACAAATGACCTCTTGGGTCAAAACATTTTAATATGTAATGTTAATTCATTCCTCTTTATACCAATGCAGTCATAAAATATAGCTTTTAGTACTTTATTAGAGAGAAAGGGATCCATGAAGGCAAAAGCGCCCAGGGCCCATGAAAGTCATAATGCAGCCCTGTCCAAGTCAGGTAACCAGAATGTTCTCTCAACCTCTTTTTGTCAGACCCTATTCCTTCCCTCCTAATTTTTTTCAGGATCTCCTCCCCTGTCAAAGGAGGGCTACTGAAGGGCAAATATGATACAATAAGACCATCATTCACTTAGGAAAAGGGAAAACCGGTTTCTTGGCCCAGCTCTGGGTCACCTGGAGTGAGTTTCTTAAGTTTTTTCCTCCACGTTTCCTCCTCTGTAAAATGAAAAAGTTATTCTAGAACTGGTCAAAAAGACTCCTTCATCTCTGTGCTCTTGATTCTTGGGTGGGCTAATGCTTGGGAAGCAGTACCGCTTAGTGGCCGGTGACCTGGCCGTCAGATAGACCTGGTTCCACCCAGGCGTCCTGAGAACGTGGGAGGTGAGTCAGTCTCTGTAGCTGTTTCCACACCTGTGAAAAGGGGGTAATAATATCTATTCCATTGTTTGGTGAAATAATGCAGGTAAGGCACTTTGCACAGTGTCTGGAAACAATAAGTGCTCAAAACGAATGCTGTTTTTTTTAGTGGTGGTGGTGTCTGCTATTCTGATTCTGAGAAGCACCCCTCAAGAAGGGTCAAATGTTCTTATGTGTAAATACTCCACCTAGTGCCACCACCCCCTCTTCATCCTGGCCGGCTCATTTTCTCTTCCATTCCTGAGCTCTGCCTCCTGTCTCTGTCCCCCGCCCCTCACAGGGAGATGGCTGACGGGAGGCATCTGGTACCCCACCCTCTCTATTTCTCCAGGAGCCAGGGAGGGAGTGATGGTTAAGAGATGTCAGCCTGGCAGAGATTAAACACTTTCCCCTTCCCCCAACAACCCCTCCCCCACCGCCATTTCTCTCCCTACTCATCTCTCACCCCCTCCCTCAAAAAGCAGTGAAAAGTTCTAATCCAAACTCAGTATGGTGTGAACACTATCTCTTTCTCACCTTTTCAGGGCAAATGTCCTTCTGCCTCCAATCTGTCAGAAACTAAGCTCTCATGTCAGGGGACCCAGAGTGTTTTTGAAGGAACACTCCTCATTTTGCCAGACCCTCATTCCCTTGATCACTGCCCTGGCTCCTCCTTCCCAATTTCTGTCCTGTCACTCTTCCTCTCAGGAAGTCCTCTCTGGGACTTAAATGGCTCCTACCCTCAGCTCTCTGGCCCTCCAAGTGCCACCACCTCTCCCAGTCCCTGAGACATCTCAGACAACACTGCCACCTTTGCCCCTATCCCTGGGCCTTTAGGGAACCTGCTGGAGGGGTGGTTGTTGCCATGGATACCAGCTAGCACCCAGGTCCCACTCTCTCCTCAACCTTGCAGCCCAGGTGAGCTGAGCCTCCCCCTCAACTCCCACACACCCCCACACAGAGCCTCAATGTAGGCCTGCTCTCTTCTCCCTCCTCTCCTCCAGGCTCCCCACAAGCTCACACAACATCACCCTTCAATCCGCCCTACACCATCCTGCCCCCACAATAATAAGAGGACAACAGAGAGCTCTTAAGCGACGGGAGGAAAAGGGGGACAAGGATTGATTTACCATAGGTCCCACTCCCCAGACACTGCCTTTCACCCAACCCCTCACAGGTCCCCCTCCCGTCCAGGCCTGAACCCCGAGGAGGCTCGGACTACAACTCCCAGCAGGCCGAACAGCCCGAAGTCCTGGGCTGGACGAGCAAGGCACGCTGGGACATGGAGTCTCGGCGTCTTGCACCTGCCGCAGGAACCAGTGAAGGGAGGAGGGTGGAAGGAGAAGATGGAGTGCGGCTGCGGTGGGAGCAGCCCGCAGGGCCTCTTTCCCCGAAGCCAGGCCTTTCCGTCCTCTGCGGAAGCGGAGGGACACAAGCTCACTCACTGCCCTTCTCCAAGGTCCGGCAACGAAAGAGCCCCCTCCCCCACCCCGCCCGCCTCCCCCACAGAGCTCTGCAGCTCCTGCTCTGACGTCCAACCAGGAGTTGTTCCAGGCTGGGCCCGAGCAACGTGACCCAGCAGGGAAAGGGGTGAGAGAGGGCGCTGGGAGAAAGCGATTGTCCACAAGTGTACGCCAAAATAGTGACCTCAAGCAGTATGCAGATGAACTTGGGGGCACCTCCCTCTTAGGGGAGAGGAGTTGGGGGCAACTGTTTTAACAGGTCTCTGGTCCTCTCTGCTCTTCTCCTCCCCTCCTCTCCCCACCCCTCCCTTGGCCCCTCCGGGTCACTCACCACCTTCCAGCGATCCTTGACCACGTAGTTGGCCGGCAGTATGTCGGCCTGCTCCCCTCCCCCACTCATGTTGGTTTCGTCCTTAAGAGCAGCCGCTAGGCACTGCATCCGCCAGCCGGAGGGAGGGGTGTCCGCAGGGCCTGCCCTGGGGGGGCCATCTACCCGGGGGGGGGGGGTGGAGGGGCCATGAGTGGGGCAGGCAAAGGACTCGGGACCCTCCTGCAGATACGGAGGAGGGGAGCGCCATTCTCCTGGCAGGCATCCTCCCCGGGCCCGCTGGGCAGATGCTCCAGGGGTTACTGGGGGAAGCACTGTGTAAACGCCCCGGTGGAGGTCACAAGAGAAGACAGAAATACTATCCACGGGAAGGGAGACACAAACTAGGAACTGGGGATGGGAAACCCAGCAACAGGACACACGTGTTGAAAAAAGGAGAGGAAAATGCTGTGTGAGCATGCTTGGGGGGGACAGCATTTCCCAAAGAGAGAGTTGCTAACGTGGAGGACACTTGCTACCCCCCACCCATGCTTGTGTAGGGGACACTTGGGCTGAGAAGGATCCGTCTGAGTGACTTGATGGGAGCCCCCCCTGCACCCACACATTCCTATGCAGAGGTGACACCAAATGTCCATGGAGCTCAGCATCTGAAGCTTACTAAAATAGGGAGTCCTGCTGACCGAGGGGTGACCCATGGGAGAGCCGCCCCGCCCCAGAGTGATGCAGACCTGCTCATCCACCAGAGGGGGTGGGATAATCAAGGAGAGGAGCTGCACAGCAGCCCCTTGGGGATGGTGCCAAGTGAGGAGGCTGCTGTTGTGTGAGGCACACACCATTCTCAGGGGTGAGTCCAACTCACTGACAGCCATGGGGTTCAGAAGCAAAGATGCGATCCATGGGATGAACAAAGGTGATGGACTCAGCACATGGATTTCAGAGGGACCACAGACCTGCAGCCACTCCCACAGAGAGAAACAGGCTGAACTGGGTGGATGGGGGGGTGGTCTTGGGAACAACAGGGTATGGGATAGGGGTGAGAGGCCGGAGGAATGCCAAGGAGCAGCAGGTCGCGGTGGGTGTGCACTGAGAGCTCTGATCCCACCTTTCTGTCTGCTCCAGAACAAGAAGGCCGCAGAGGTAGAAGTTGGATGTCAAAGAGAGTGTCCCGAGTGTGAGGCTTGGGAAAGCCCAACAGTGTTATCCAGGGAAACAAATGTGTGTGCACATGTATGTGTCTGTGTGTGTATCTGCACATGTGTCCTTCTGTGAGTATGTGTATGTCTTTGTGTGTCCGTGTGTCTTTGTGTCTGCTCCTGTCCATCTGTCCATGGGTGCTTATGCATGTTGTGTCTGTCTGTGATATGCATGTGTACAGACAGCGGGCAGCTTATTGAGATTTCTGTCAACCTCGTCCATTTCCTCTCTTTCTTCCCCCTTCCCCTTACACTTTGGATAAGCACACTACTCTGCCCTCATAGTGACCCTGGAGAGTCACAGTGGGAAAGCAGTCGCTCTAGCTGGGGACGAGGTGGGGTGGAATGGAGATGGGGAGGAAGATAGTGACCAAGGTATGCATGGATGGAGCCAAAACTCCATAAACCTGTCTTTCCCTGGGGTGGGGATAACTCCCCCAGGCTCCTGTGTCTAGTCATCCTCATACAGGGGGCAGTATGGGGTAGTAAAGGCATAAAAACCACCTTCAACAGGTCATAGAGGGCCATGAGGGACATGTGGAGAAGAGAGCTTCATGCAAAGGGACACTGTCGCTCTTGTCCTATCCTTCTTCAAGTGACTCAGCTGACTCTTTCTCCAAGCCACCCAACTTCAGAGATTCAGAACCATGGGGATGTCAATCAAATAGGCCGCTGCCCACCTTCTGCCAAAGTGGCATGTGGGGCATGAGGAATCTAGAGGGCAGTGAGGGCAATGGCAGGGTAAAGGGAGAGGCAGAGGGTGGGGGGTTCTGAACTAAAGGTGGAAACATGTTGAGGACGAGACCGAAGAAGAAACTGAACCGATTGGGAGAGAGCCTGGAGCAGCTTGTGACCCCTCGTGGGCCTTCCAGTCCTGTGATGGTAGATTCTATAGGTTGGTGTGGAAATTTGGGATGTAGCAACCAGTTTCGAGATGGACAAGCCAAGAAGGAACAGGTGGGGTGGGAAAAGAGGTGGCGGCCAAAGGCTAAATGGGGGTTCCCGGCCTCTTCCAGTCCACCATCCTCACTGTCTGCCTCCGAGGACTGCCCTCAGCTTAGACTAGGCTGGACGACAGACCACAAGGAACTTAGCTGCCCCATTACTGCCTCCTCAGGACCCTTTGAGTATGTGGAGGCATGGGTGTGCCATGGGAGGGGGCTTGTGGAAGAGGTTTTTATAAGTATCTGTCAGACAGTGTGGGGCCTATTGTGGGGCAGGGATGGGGAGACAGGGAGACACAACGAGGGAGGGAGCTCATCATGGTGTGTGAATAGAGGTGTTGATGTGTAACTATGCAAGGTGTGAGCCAGGTGTCTGTGGGAATCTGGGAGCGCAGGTAAGAAGAGGTGAAGGAACCCAGTGAGGGGTAGTGGGAACTGGTGAGAAGAGATGAGGAAGGAGGCAGAGACGAAGGGAAGGGATGGGGAGGGTGGTGACAGGATCCGTGGAGGGGGTTGGGTAAGACAGAAGCAGGCGATGAGCAGCGATCCTGATGACAGGTGAGGGAGCAGCAGGTCCCCGGGAGGGGCTTCTGGGCACTGCTGAAGGGGTGAGGAAGTAGGTAAGGCAACTGGCCTCAGGGACGGAGGGAGTGAGGACGAGGGAGAGAGGTTATGGAGGCAGCTGGGAAGGCTTGTCAGGGTGACAGCAGGGTGAAGCCGTGGGGACCGGGGCAGCAGTGAGAAGCGAGAGGCAGAGGCCGTGGAGGGCTGGCTGGCGAGGGCGAGTGTGTGTGCTGGGGCTGGGGGGGCGGGGGGCAGGGAGCCGTTCCAGGCCTCGGGATGCGGCCCAGGCTGTGTAGGCCAGCGGCGGGCGTCCCGGCTCGGGCGGACACGGCCCAGGGAGGGGGAGCTGGGGAAGGCTGCGCTGGGAGGCGAGCCGGGCCCGAGGCCCGCGGAGCCCGCAGGGGAGCCCCCGCCCCGACCCCGCCGGCCCGCCGCCGGCCCCGCCCCGCCTCACCTGCTCTGTGCCCGCTGCGGCTGCGGCTGCGGCGGCGGAGGCAGCGGCTCGGGGCGGCGCATCCCCCGGGGCCGGGGCGGGGCGGGGGCGGGGGCGGCTCAGTGCGGCGCGGGGCTGCCCGCTCCCTCCGGCGGCGGTGGCGGCGGCGGCGGCGGCCTCCCGCCTGGGATCATCCCCGCCCGGCCCGGCCCGGCCCCGATCCTCCTCGGGCGACGGCGGAGGCAGCGGCGGAGCGGGGAGCTGCCCACAATGCACTGCGCCGCCAGCATCAGCACCAACCCTGACATCACCGCCCCACCGCCCGGCTCTTACATCACCGCCCTTTCTCTGACATCACATTCCACTCCGCTCCTCTCTCCACTCCTGCAGCCTTAGGGTTCTCCTTCAGATGGTCCCACTCCAGCTCTTCGGTTCTCCTCGCTGGTTTCACCATTCACTTGACCGCCACCTCTCACTCCGGCAGGACCCCATCCCTCCTTACCTGTCCCCACAAACCTCATCTGTCTTCATCATCCCTTATCTTCTTCCCTCCCAGCATGTCCCTGTCACTCTACCTGTCTCTATCAGCCTGAAATGATTGCCCCACTGCACCTTCCATGTGCTCATACTACTTTCCTCTAAACTCCTTTCCCCTCACCTGGGGAAAGGAGAGTTTTGTTGTTGTTGTTGTTGTTGTTGTTTGTTTTTTAAGATTTTATTTAGTTGACAGAGAGAGACACAGCGAGAGAAGGAACACAAGCAAGGGGAGTGGGAGAGGGAGAAGCAGGCTTCTCACGGTACAGGGAGCCCAATGTGGGGCTCTGTCCCAAGACCCTGAGGTTCATGTCCTGAGCCGAGACTGACGATTAACGACTGGGCCACCCAGGCATCTCTCCGTCCCCTATTTCTTCTCACACATCCCTTGCCTAGGACTCACCTCCCCGCACATAGGCCTTTCCTCCTGGTTCAACCTGTTCCTGTCTTTGGCCCTTCTTTCCATCTATTGGCAAATTTTGTTATTGTTTCTTACTGATTACAAATAAGATGCACTCTTTTTATTTTTATTTTTTACAAGATTTTATTTATTTATTTATTTATTTATTTATTTATTTCAGAGCGAGAGAGAGCACGTGCTTGCGCACAGGAGCAGGGGGAGGGGCAGCAGAGAGAGGGGCAGAGGGACAGGCTGATTGCCCACTGAGCAGGCAGGGAAACATGGGGCTTGATCCCAGAACCTGGAGATCATGACCTGAGCCAAAGGCAGATGCCTAACTAAGTGAGCCACCCAGGCATCCCAAGATGCACTCTTTTTAAAAAAGGATTTTATTTATGTATTTGAGAGAGCATGAGAGAAAGCAGAGAGTACAGGCAGGGGTGAGGTGGGGAGGAGGGGCAGAGGGAGAGGGGGATGCAGACTGCCCACTGAGCAGGGAGCCTGATGCAGGACTCCATACCAGGACCCTGGGATCATGACCTGAGCCGAAGGCAGATGCTTAACCAACGGAACTACCCAGGCGCCCAAAATGCACAGTTTACTGTGACATTAAAAATTCTTCCCAACATGGTAATAATACCATATAAAGGCTATTACCACCCTTTTGACCAGTTTAATTACTCAACATTCTCTGAACGTACTTTACACTTTGTCTCTCTCATCCTTTGTGCCTTCCACAAATGCATAAAGGCCTCCATTAGCAATGACAAATGGCAACCATTTATTCTTGCCAGACACTGTTCTAACTCTACACCTATTGACTCATTTAATCCTCATAACAACCTTAGAGTGCAGCAGTACTAATGTTACACCCATTTTATAGAGGAGGAAACTGAGGTACAGAAAGGTTGAGTAATTTGCCTTGGGTTACACAGCTAGCAAGTGGCAGAACTGGGGTTCGAACTCTGGCTTCACAGTCCACGCTCCTAACCACGATGCTGGGAGGAAGAACCACTGAGTCAGCAAGACCACTCAGAGGAGGT